CAAAAACATGGTGTTTGCACTACATGGTTAGATAAATTATGTGGTTATGTAAATGAAATGAATATTCGAAAACTTTTAAATTCAAATATAACAATTCCAATCATATTAAAAGTTAATCAATCAGGTTTTAATGTTCCTTCTGATATTTCAAAACCTTTAATAATGATTGGTCCTGGTACAGGAGTAGCTCCATTTATTGGATTTCTTCAACATAGAGAATTACAAATTTTATTAGAAAAGGAAACAAATAATAATAATAAAATTTTAGGTGATATGTGGTTATTTTATGGATGTAGAGATAAAGAAAAAGATTTTCTATATCGTAAGGAGTTGGAAGGTTTTGTAGAACGTGGAATTTTAAAAGAATTATTTGTTGCTATAAGTCGTTCTCCTGGTGCTGGAATAAATGGAAAACCAAAATATGTTCAAGACCTTATGAAAATTCAAGGTCGAAATATTTTTGAATTAATAACTAAAAAAGATTTTATGATTTTTGTATGTGGGTAAGTAAAAAAAAAAAAAAAAATTATTTATTGGTATATAATTTTTATAATGTTAATTTTGGTTTTTGCTGTTGGTTTTATAGTGACGCCAAAGGCATGTCAAAAGGTGTGAACGATGCTTTGGCTGATATTCTTGTTGAACATGGTCAAATGCAACGATCAGAGGCATTAGATTTATTAAAGAAATGGATCAAAGAAAAACGATATTTACGTGACTTGGTAAGTGAAATATTATTGTCTTATTTTGTAAACGCTAAATTATACAAATATGATAACTCTTATTATTATTATTATTATTTAGTGGGCTTGAATAAAGTTAATTCATTCTTTTCATAATCCTATTTAATTAATTACATAAAATGTAATTTTATAGAAAATAAATGCCAAGTAAAATATAAAATAAACTTAACTATTAAGGCCACAAAATATATGAATTGGTTCTCATAACCCGACCGGGTCAAAGTTTAAAAACTTTTAAGCAAATTTTTGTATAACCGAGTGGATTTTTTTTATAAAAAAATTTTTATAAAATTTTGTATATGAAATTTGAAAAAAGAAGCCGGGTCAGATTTAAAATTTCATGTTATGAATTAACTTTGCATGACCTAAGGGAACTAAATAATTTTCAATTTATAAAAAGGGCGGTGTTATACCTTATTATAAGTTATCGTATTCAAGTTGACTCTTTAAAAATGGACCTATTGGGTTTTAAAATAACCTTACATAATGTACCAACGATATATATGTGTCAGATTAAATAATCTCTTTATACTGTATATCTAACTTAGTTACTCATCTAGCCCTAATAAAATTCGTATTTAAATTTTATCCAAACTCGTGGATTTGGCCATGGACAAACTTGGAAAATTGGGTTGTCCAGCCGTACCTGAAAATTCAATCAGATATCGATATGGCAAAACTGGACAAATCTCATTACCAAATCCTAGCCACCCATGTAATAATCATCCTATCAATTCGTAACAAATTATGTTGTAACAAATATGAACCAAATAAAAATCAGTTAAACAAAATTTTAATCCGACAATTTATAATTATACACAACTTTCTCTTGAGCAATATATATATATATATTTTTACCACAAATCTCACTGAAGTTAAAAACATTAAAATCAGCAAATCGTGAACATAAATAATTATTCATAAATTCTATTTACATTACCGTATAGCGCGGACTATATATTAACTCTGGTATTATACTTGGAGATTTTTCATATACGGTAAAAAATTTTTAAATAGAGTATATCCTCCCGTGTATTTTATTTCATTTGCATTAATTTAGTAGGGAAATATAAACGTAAAGAAAATTTATTAATTTTAGTGAGCATAAATACTTATTTACCATTACCTAATACTGTACTATAAATA